TTATAATAAATGTAAAATAATGCATGTGGGTTATCATAATTTGAATTATAAGTATAATTTGGATGGTAATAACCTTAACAGTGTTTGGAAGAAAGGGATCTTGGTGTAATGGTTGATTAGTATTAAGCCATCCAATCAGTGTGTTGTTGCTAGTGGCAGGAAAAATAGGATTTCAGGTCGTATCTACAATAATACTGAATACAAGTCTAAAGAGATTATAATTTCATTGTATAGGTCACTGGTTAGGCAATATTTGGAGTATTGTGTTCAGCCTTGGACTCCTTACCTTAGGAAGGACTGATTTGTTGGAAAGGGTTTAGAAGAGGGCTACTAAAATGGTGCCTGGGATGGAGGGGTTGTCATAGGAAGAGAGGATTATATTTCTGAAATGTTTTTCTCTTGAAAAAAGATAAGTTAGAGGGGATCTGATTGAGGTGTTTAAGATTAATGAGGAATTATATATATTTTTTAACAGGGTAGTTTGCCTTTAAAATGGGTTGCTTTCAGATGTTGTGGAGGCAGTAACTTCAAGTGAGTTTAGGAGAAAGCTTGATAACTATATGAATGATAAGGGCTGGCGTTGAGGGTTTTTTTTTTTTTCATTTAATAGTTTTAGTTTAGTTCAGGAAATGGGACAGCCTAGATGAACTAATATGTTCCTTGTTGTCAATGAACATTATGTTATGTTATATTGTATTTTAGTCTTGAGTGAACATTGTTATGTTATATTATATCCTAGTCTTGAGTGAACATTATGTTATGTTATATTATATCCTAGTCTTGAGTGAACATTACGTTATGTTATATTATATCCTAGTCTTGAGTGAACATTACATTATGTTATATTATATCCTAGTCTTGAGAGTCTGTATTGTAAATTAAAGTTAATCAAAACCATATTATATCTTTATCTTGCAAGTCTGTATTATAAATCTACAAAGCAATTGAAATTAGATAGATTCTGAATTGACCAGCTGTTTAAAGCAACCACGAGATAAGAGAAAGTGATTGAAATTTACCTTACAACTTGTGAGCTAAAAGTTACAAAACAGTTTTTTTTGTTCATCTACAACTTAATTCATTCTTTGTTTTAATTGAACTTGCAATACATACATTAAGTCAAGAAGAATTAATTTTATATTTTTCCACTTCTATTATTCTTTAAAACTACCTTATTGTTCTTCAATTTTAAAGTTTAGAATTTTGTTTAAAGAGCTATTCTAAATATTCTTAACCAGTTATCATTGGTATAATAAAGAAAGAAAGTGGCCATCAATCTTATATACAGAATTAATCACAAACATTGTTAACCTGATATATACAGATATACATATCATTAATACATACCAGTTATCATTGGTATAAGAAAGAAAGTGGCCATCAATCTTATATACTGAATTAATCACAAACATTGTTAACCTGATATATACAGATATACATATCATTAATACATACCAGTTATCATTGGTATAAGAAAGAAAGTGGCCATCAATCTTATATATTGAATTAATCACAAACATTGTTAATCTGATATATACAGATATATATATCATTAATCACAAACATTGTTAATCTGATATATACAGATGTACATATCATTAATCACAAACATTGTGTAGAAAGTTAGTAGTTATTATAAATTAATCTGATATATAGAGATATACATATCATTAATCACAAACATTGTGAAGAAAGTTAGTAGTTATTATAAATTAATCTGATATATAGAGATATACATATCATTAATCACAAACATTGTTAATCTG